AACAGCCTGGGTCCGAGAAGGATGTCGTTTTGTAGCTCCCACACCATATCAAGGTCCTTAAAAGCAATAACCACTAAGTGGCAACGACGTTACCATTACCATATTGGTAGGGTAGCGGAAAGCAGTCAAAGTTGCTGCCTGCGACCGTGAGACACGTGCCACTTCCCTCCGAAAACTAGGGTTGAGTCCTAAACCTCATCGCATTTTTCAAGCCCTTCCTTTCCCACAACTTTATAGCGGTACGGCAAATTTAGCTCCTCTGCTAAGACGGCAACACAAATCACACTGTCAACTTAGCATAAATAATGAAACTTTATACAAAGGAACGTGAGAATTACTTTGAGGTGATTGGCCAGGTTATCCCGCCTGGTGAAGTCGTGGCCACAGAGAGGACACACGAACGGTTTCTTTTGGTTATCGCCGCTTTCGTCGTCCAAACTCTCTTCTTTGTTGGGAAATCGACCGCCAGGTCCAATGATGAACTGGGAGCCGTCCTCACTGAGGTCAACTTGCAGCACGTCATTCTGTACGACGAACAAGTCAGGAATGGTTGAAGTTATCCTTACGCGTAGAAAGTTTGCTGTAGATATGCAACTCAATAAACAAAAGACACGCCACTAAGTAGAGCCAATAAACCACGACTGAAATCCTGTGACTGATCGTCACAAACGACGAGTTAGAATAATTAACTTCCAGCAAAATAAACCCTGGTTCATGGATGATTTTTGTATTGAGTACAACAATATGCAAAGTAAACTTAATCTTTACGTCGTAGTAATAATTAACAAATATCGTAATAATCGTTATTAATTATGACAACGTTATTATTTATTTTTACCAACAGGATCCAGCTGCTCGTGTATTCAACGAACATGAATTATATATAGGCAACCGAAGAAGATTTTTTCAAATACAACCAACAAGTTTCAATGCAGACAAACCGTACCGTATCATCATCGTTGTCTAGGGGGCCGTTGGAGCGGAAGACTTCCTCCTTGACTAGATTGGAGACTGAAGACAGCAATGAAGCCTCGTCACAATCTTCATTACGCTGTAGGTCGTCGTCTCCGACAACGCTGTTATTCGGCATCTTTGAAACAAACATAAATACATAAGCTGATGCTTCGTAATCTCTTCTAGTTTCTTCATACTGTGGCGTTCTGCATTACGTTTTCCACTTAAATATTTGTTAACGGTTTCCTTTACCTTCGATATAATATGATTGTATGGTCGATAAGTCTAATAGTCGTGTAGCTGCTTATTCACAGATCATTTATGAATATTCTTGATTGCAAATAATATCCATCTCGACAATGTGAAAAAATAAATTCTCAAATCAGTAAAAGATTCGCTAACAAAGAAAAAAACTAAAAGACTCATAAACCCATTTACAAAAATTGTTTATTTTGCAATCATGAGAAGAAATTAACGTTAGTAATATTAACACCACCATGAATTGCTGCGATAAATTCTTAGCTTAGCATCAACATTATGTGGGTTCACGCTTCTGAAAAGGATTGATGTTTATCATCAATACGATAATTTTGTGTCAGCATTTGACGTGACTAACTTTTTCAGGAGAGATGAGAGCAGGTTGCGGGTCGTCGCTGGAAGAAGACGAGCGGTCAACCGATCCTTCTTTGGCGCCGAAACAAACTCCGTTGCCCATGGAAGCATCTTTCGAAATGCCACCCAACGACGCCTTAAGAAGAAGTCCGTTAGAAGAGGTTTTTCTTTATGATTTAGTTTATGCTATTATTGAAGTAGAAATAAAATGCACTAAACTTCGTCTAACGTACGGTTTAAGAATAACGGAGCTGATGAGTGATGATGCTTCTTTTCAAGTGTTTTATCACACCATGGATACATTTTATAAAATATTATTGTGGGATCAATCTTGAATATTCGAACCCGTAACTTAATGCTCTAATCTTTCTGTTCAAAACCATTCGGCCTGCTAAAAATCCAGGCATAAGCAAGAGGGCGTTTACTCGCTATTACGAACATTCTCAAGCATTGACAAGTTTCCATTCCCTTCCCCAAATCATTCGCCGACGTCAACAATCTCATACCTTCACCAGGTAACGTCAACGATCCAAGGAGATCATTACCTTGGACGTGCTGGCCAGACAAGGCCCGTTCACGGGGCTCGGGGCGACTTTCTGGCGTTTTAGTTGAGGTGGGCCGCAAAGACGCCCATGAGGGGACGTTTCCTGAGCAGGTGAGTTGACTTGACCAGCAGCGCCTCCGCTGTTCAGAGGCAGAGGTGTCAGTCTTGGAGGCTCGTCTTTCTTAAAAGATCCGTCTGAAAGCAACAAATTCAAATTGAATAACATACTTTGAAGCATTCATTATGGAATATGGAGTAGAAACTGATTAAACGATGAAAAATGCTGAAAGTTTGACTTGATAAATGATACTTCATAATCTTCAAGGAAAATATCATGTACAAATTTCCGGAAGCGGTTTTCCGGGAAAATTTAGACGCATCGGAGAAAATTCACAAAAAAAATTCTTGTAAGGATAATTGTGAACTGATTACGATACAGAGGAGGTTCAGCCTTTCCAAATAAACCATCTAAAATCTGAAAATATAAAAACTAACAATAAGGATAAATAGAGATTCTGAATTTTGCACCGTGTAACTTCAGACGACGTTCAATTAGGATGTGAAACCAACTGATAAAAAAGAATAAGAACTGTTCACGCTTGGTTATTATTTGTTTTCTCAAACAATATGGAGCGCTGCTGATATAACATTTATTGAGGTACGATAGTATTATACTAGTAATAGAGGGGTAAAATGAAATTATTAGGTGCTTCGACATTTTAACCAATTCCCTACGCACTTAACAAAATTCATAGATTTGCTTCGCATAGTCCTAACAAAAATAGCTTCCACGATTGTAAAAGCTGCTAACCTGCACTTCTTTTCTTCTTGGGGACGAGCGTGGCGATTCTTGATGGGGAGGTAGAAAGTTGAGGAGGTGGTACCCTCAACTGAGGAACTGGGGAAGACACCCTGGGGCTGTCAGGGACCGCTAGACCCTTCACTTGTAGCCCCTCCGCCGTGCGCAGCAGCGAAGGCACCTCTGTCTCCGCCACGTGAACTTCGCCCTACAAGAAGTACGTTGTTAATACCACGATAAATCCAGGAGTTATTAATTTACATAATGTGAATGCCATCTTGTGAACAATCAATTCTAAACACACATCAACTTCAGCCTTCACGAATTCACCATTAATGTTTTCTTGTTTCTTAAAGTACGCATACACATACTTTGCACTAGCCATCATAATAATGAGAAACGAGGGGCAGAAGTTTGTGTTCTTTAACTCCGATTGTTTAAGCTTTTCGGAGTAAGTTTGAGAATAGTAGAGCAAATCTAGACCCAATCCAGAATAATCTTATTATTTTGTCCAGAAACTGGTGAATAATACGTGGAATGGCGCTCGGAAAATACAGTATAGCTACTACCTTTTATCTGAGAAACCGAGACCTCGAATTCGATTTCTCTGAAAACATAAAATTCTACGTTTACATTAGGAGCTGAATCTGCACCTTGTACATGAAGTCGAGGAGCGCCTCCATGTCATGCGGAGAGACGTCCCTCATGTACACCACAGGATGCTTGCAGGGCGTGCGTGCTATCATCTCCTTGAAGTAATCGCTGCACGTCGCCAGCACGAACTTGTGCGCTGAGAAGAATTGCCCGCCGCAGGACAGCGTCACATCACAGTAACTTTCCTGTCAAACAAAGAGCCGTGAGTTAAATTGTGGTACTTGAAACGTACTGGATAGGTTTCCATATATCAACGCACTAATGCGCTTCGTCAGACAAGCTTCCAAATTGAATTCTTCTTCTGCGTTGAGATACGCGTGTTATAAATTGAATAAATAGAAAAGGCTGTAAATTTTTATCAAAACTAACTGCGATTCGTAGATCATCGAGAGTCGTTGCGAAGATGCTCTGGTGGTTGTTCCATCGCAGCGCCAAGTATCCGCTGGACTCAGACATCTTGCCGGGCGCTTCACTTCGCCGAAGTTGCAGTGCTCAAAGTTGATCGCGTGACGCTTGTGCTTCTAATGGCGCGTGAACGACTATCTGGAAATATATCAATTATTAGAGATCAAATATCAGCATAAATCATAATTATTAAACTCCTGAATCAAAAGATCCATAAATTCAATTATCAACCACAACTAAGACTTGTAGTCTAATACAGCGCGCTCTGGAGGTCACCTGGCAGCAACGCTAATGGAATGCACATTGCACAACTTGAAAGAACACAAGCCAAGAAGAGCATCCGAAAATCACCAAAGGGGAACATGAGAAAATTCAGCTCTAGACTCGAGTGATCAACCCAAAATAAATACTATGCGGCCTCTATCTAGTAGTTTATTCAATTAAAAATCGAGCAAAAAGGGATACGTTATCGAACGAAAACCGATTTAACCATTGCATAAAATGTGTATTGAATCGTTATATGTTCTTACACTATCCCGATAGCGGCGTTGACTAAAGAAACAATTCTACGGTTAAATCGTGCTAGTATCTTTTCCGCCAAAAAGATTATTATGAACAATTTGTAGCTAATTTTTCTTAATTCTTAGAGTCTCAAATATCGCGGATCAGATTCGTGAAAGTAAAGAAATTCCAACATAATTGAATCCTTTTAGAGAATGAAAGCTATATATTGCATAACAGAGAGAATTATCCATTCTATTTCATCACAAATGAGAGAAGGGTTTATCAACGACAAAATTTCCTCACGTTGGAGAAATGTTTGAAAAATTCCCTGAAAATGCAGAAGAGGAGAAGGAACCTTTATCGGACACTAAAAAATAGTCCAAACGACGTGAAAAATGTAAATCCTTCATGAAATAGCTTCGCAATAATTAATACCTAGCAAGTTTAACTAGACGAAGCTGTCTCACTGTGGGGAACGAGCAGCAGTAACACGCAGCAGGTGTGGCGTATTTTGGCAGGTGTACGCGGAAGAGTTGCAGCTGAAGGGCCAGCCACGCTGGCTTGATCCAACAGTAGAGAATGGATATGAAAGGGTGGGCCCAAAACTATATCTTTATCTCGCATGCCGTCCACGCATCACCATCGGCCCAGTCAAATTTACAACGAATTTTAAAAATGCAGTTGCTCATGACCAGTACGAATAGAAATTGAAATAATATTATCAATTGAGCAAAATGCCCAACAAGCATGCCAGTCACTGAAAAGACGAAAAGAGAATACATACTCAGTCATGTCTTCAGTACTCCAAATCGAAGGGAAAATTTTCACGAGCGCACGAAATGGTCTGTAAATGGCACTATGATCGATTATTTTCACACCCGAAAGTAATTCGCCCCAATTTGTAGAGCTATAAATTGTGTAATGTTTAATTTTTCAAATTCATATCAAGCTCGAAAACCAGCGATAATTCTCTTCACTAAAAATCAGAAAAAGAAAATACCAATCTAAACAAACTTATTGTTACAACTAAATAAATTGACTCACAGTTCAGTTCTCGATGAAACTATAAAAAAGTATTGCTGTGGCCATGATACACTCCCTTGCCAACACGTGTATCTTTACGCTGATATTCGCTAAAATAAAACCCAAGTCCTGATTCCGTCAAAAGCACACAAAAATTTTCATTGACATAAAAATGATTATCGCTCTCAACGAAGCGGTTTGACGCCACATCATGAACAATTGAACATCAGAGAAAAAAGGAAAAGGGTTTAGATTTTGTAGTCAAACGAGAATGAACAAGATGTAAAAATACGCAGGTAATAAATTAATACTTAAGTTGGTAATAATTGGATAGCTTATATATGATAGAAAAAAGTGCGCAAGGCACCATATTTGGGTAAATACAACAATAGAGCTGTAGCACAAAATCCGGTGAATTTCTTCATCAAATACACTCGCGCCTCCTTGTCGGACGGTCCGAGCAACGCAAGGCGCCCTCACGGTACACGCAGCAGAGCTGCCAGCTGCGGCCCGCGGAGCTTTAAGGCTGCAGGAGGAACAGCAGCGATCAATGCTGGTGCTGTTGTTGCAGACTGGTTCTTGGAACAGTTGCGTGGCAGTTGTTTTAACCAGAGCTGTATTTTGGTTATCGAAATATTATCGTTGGATGTCAATGTTGCCTAAAGCGTCGATCTTGGAACAGCAGTGGAGTAGAAACTGTTCTCACAGGTACACTTAAGTGCATGGAACAGTAGCATAGAAGATCGAGTGCATTGATGCTGTGCTTCAAGTCAAAAACAGAGAATATTTTTGTCGCATACATAATGAGTTTTTGGTCATAGCGGCAGAATTATATGCAGGTCACAGCAGAAGAGTTTTCATTGTTGTTGCTGAAGCAGCTGAGTGTGTTTTTTGCTACTACAGCATCAGAATGACCGTGAAATTTGCTGCTGGTGGCACAGCGTATTGGTGTAGCATTTTGCATCAATCGCACTGTCATTCTTGGAGCTCCTTTGTAGCTGCAGCATTTGAACATCGGCTAAGTGAAGGTGCGTGCATGCGGCTATAAAGAGGCAGCTCGAGATTATTAAAGTTACCCCTCGGTGGATGTCACATGAACCGACTCCAACAGTCCATCAGTTCAGACTATTCAGTAGACAAATGCCCGTATAATTCATTGTCTGCAAGCGTGGGGCCAATCTGAGCTCATGTTTCATGGTTAATAATGAGGCATCTTCAATATTTTTCGAGCTGTGTTGGTATGTTTCAACAACAAGCAGTTTAGGAGCTATAGCATAAGAAGAGTAATTTCTGCCGTTGATGGTACTACATTTGTAGTACGTCCATGTGTTTTTGTCCGTGGCGAGGCGATTGGAAAATATTTACTTTACTTTGCTCGTCTAAGAAGCATCAGAGTATTATAAAGTTCGCATAATTTTCTGCATTTGCAATATCTATATATTCTTAAAATAATTGCAATGAACACTTCTAGTACACTAAAATAACTATTCGAACTAGCCTGGTTACCTACTAGCCTCAACGTAGAATAGACTTTCATAATAATTATATTTTCCATAAATACTTCAACCTTATGTCATATCTCTCGGTGTATAAAAAAGACTTGCAACAGTAACCGTGGGCTAGCGTCCGCGTGCGGATGTCACCCGCAACGAAGAAGTGGCCAAGGCAGCACCGTGAGGTTGACTGCACTCGCTACAAAGAGGCGGATGAAGTCTCGTTGTCGTTCATGTAGTGTACAAGTCGGGACAGACGATGCTGCAGATATGGTGAAACCAAACTAATTTATACGGCTTCAGGACGCAGTGCAGCATCGCATGTTGGAGCAACGAAGGTGAAACACAATCATTGCATGGTGTATGAGAACGGCGAAGTAAGGAAGTTCGTAAAATGCACTCTAAAATGAATATCGAATGCAGAATAGCATTCGTTACAGAAGCATCGAGCGGAAAATACTACTGATACTAGAGGTAGAGCAGCCTTAGAAGTAGGTTAAAAAAGAACAAATTTCACATGAGCAATACGCAAAATAGAAGTCAAGCAATACCGAAAAAAAACAGCAAGAAATATAAATGTCCATTATCAGTGGCTTTACGTCCAGAAGTGTATTAGTAGCTCTGCGGGAGGTAAAGCAGCAGTGCCACAGAGCACACGCCACATCGACAGCAGCGTCTCTGGTAAGCTCAGCAGCAGCAGCTGCACGACAGAGCACACGCCACATCGACAGCAGCGTCTCTAGTAAGCACAGCAGCAGCAGCAGCAGCAGCGCGACAGACCACACGCCACATCGACAGCAGCGTCTCTGGTAAGCACAGCAGCAGCAGCAGCAGCTGCACGACAGAGCACACGCCACATAGACAGCAGCGTCTCTAGTAAGCACAGCAGCGTCTCTAGTAAGCACAACAGCAGCAGCTGCACGACAGCGCAGACGCCACGACAGCAGCGTCTCACAGCAGAGGCAGCTGTGCAGCTAAACAGACGCCACATCGACATCAGCATCTCTGTTCCGTATTAAGCACAGCAGCTGCTGCACGACAGAACAGAGCAGCAGCTGCACGACAGATCTGATCAGCAGCAGCTGTACGACAGATCAGATCAGCAGCAGCTGCACGACAGATCAGATCAGCTGCAGCTGTACGACAGATCAGATCAGCAGCAGCTGCACGACAGATCAGATCAGCAGCAGCAGCACGACAGAGCAGACGCCATATCGACAGCAGCGTCTCTGCAATAAGCACAGCAGTAGCAGCTGTGCAGCGCAATAGAACCACGTCAGCTCCACCGCCAGGCAGGGTCGCTGCACAGCACAAGACAGAAGTGTGTCGTCGTCAACCCTCCCCCCTCCCCGGCCGCACAACCCACCCCTCACCGGTACGAACGGTCGGAGCACGGACACCTTCCCGCCATCCAGGCTGAGAGAGGACGCTGCGCAGCGCCAGTCAGGTAGGTGTATCTGCTGACCCGCCTTCTTCACAGATAACCAAGCTTATCACGCGCACCGGCAGTCAAGCCACATCACGCCTTTCTCAATATATGCTCTTCCTCAATAATTGCCGATACTCTTCTTCAATAATCAAATGAACAACAAAATACTCGATCGCCAAACAATGTTGTCGCCAATGAAGAAAATTTCAATTTCATGAAGAAAATTTTAACGACATGATACCCCATAAAAATAAAATTCTGTGCATGCGCAACCCCAGGAGGTACGCCTCCAAACACACGCCTTGATATTACTCATGCCCACAACCATCGATGTCAGGACACGATTTCCATCAAGTAAGTCGCCACAAACATTAGCCACTTCCGATACAGACCCAGCAACAAGAATCATATAGGCCAGCAAGTATGGTCCAGTAAGTCAGTCAGATGACGTCAGCATGGCTGGCAGCTCCCACAAGCCAAATCCTGCTTGGTCAGGGACTCAATAGTCAGCCCCTCTCACTCGCTCGCCGCTACACATGAGGCAGCTCGTCGCTCCCAAGTTACCGGACACAAGCTTCGTGTCAAGCAGGCCTCACGGCCGCTCTGCTGGCAGCCCTTCGTTCCCTGTTCATTGATCCAGCCCTCCTGCATCTGCTGCTGCTGCTGCCGCCACCGCACGCTCCCCACACAACACTTGCGCCATCACACCAACTGCTCTCTCACTCTCTCCTCACCACATGCGCGCACGTAGAAGCACCGTCGCACCACACAACTGGTCCTCACAAAATAAACGAACATCATTACACTTCAGTGACTACACCAACTGCTCTCTCACTCTTTATCTATCCACACCACATGCACGTACACGAGCGGCCTTCGCACAATCCCAACTATCGTTCACTTCTCTTCGCGTGCACGAAGTCCTTCACAAGTAACGATCACTGTACGACCGTGCACTAAGAGGTTATTCTCAACATTCAGTGGCCCCCAAATCACAACATTACAATAGGATTTCGAGAACGAAAACCTTGTCCTTGGAGAATTCTCAATATATTTTGATTATCTAACACGAATAGCCGGAATCCAGGAGATGAAATGCTGAGAATCCGAATGTGAATATTAACACTTATTAATAAGGTAGATTTCATCGAGTGCTGGATTCTACAGCAAAGTTTGTCACCATTCACAACATTAACATTGACTCTCGTTCGAGCTTTCATTTATTGGCATGACTTTCGAATCGCATGAGGCTTTCTCAATTGATGTAGAATTTGTAGATCATGCACGAAGCGCTTATCACTCATGTATACAAGTAATTGCGCCAACAACCAGGTATTCGGCAACCAGGTAGGTACCTATATAAAAACGTAACAATATTGTACTGGGAGTTGAGCGCCAAGAAAACTTCGACTGCTCGGCAAAAAAAAAACGTAAAATCGTGGTAAACAATTATGGTTCACGCTAAAGTAATGCCACACTTGTAATGGTCCACGCTTTTCTTTTTCTAGTGTAATTGAATACAAGAATTCAAGTGTCGCGGAAAACTGTTGCCTTAACCTGCGCTAGATAAAGATAATATACATAGTTACTGAAAGAATAACAATAACAAAATCAATCATTTTCTCTCAATACAGCAGTATTTTATATTTAAAAAGGTCATTATTCGATGAACAGAATTAGAGAATGTAGAAAAATAACGTTAAGTTGTGCTGAAAGTAACAAGTTCAAATCAGTTGATACGCTAATAAGTTGACGTTCGCATTGAGTAGATGGACACTCGAGGAGATCAGGGCAATCCAAATTAATTTACGGGCCATGGAAGCATGACTTTGAATGGAATCGAATTAAGAATACGAAGAAAAATAAGTAGAAGAGATCGGGGAAGCAACAGGTGCTGGTGATGTAAGGAGAGTTGCTCGCTCGGGCTTACACTGATAACGTATCGCGGCAACTGACGCGATTGAGATCCATGAGATAGGTGGCTTAGAAGCTCGTAAATGTACTTGTGAGTCACTAAAGCACTGCATGAATCAGACCTGACTTGAAGTAGCAATGGTTTTAAGAAGTAAGCTCCAACGAAATATTATATAAACGTAAATCAGCACATTCGATTTTTCCTATGTTCGATTTCCTATGTCACGTAACCTAGGTCAAGTTATCTCTCAAGAAAGGTTGCGACTGGAAAACTTTTTACTTCCACACTGAGTTGACTAAATGCTAAGCAAAATGACTAAAAAAATTTAAAAAAAATGCAACTAATTAACTGAAAGTAAA